CTGTGCAGATGCTGTCACACAGGAGCACTTGCCAACCGCGTAAGGGTAGAGCAGTAAGTTTCACAATACACACAAGACTCCTGCAGAACAAGCACGTTCTATACTTCACTACAGCAGCTTAGAAATTGGCATAGATTCTTAATTACTGAGGAGTAAACTGGATTAGTGAAAGACAGGTTAGGATAACTGCTGTTTTTCCAGTGCAACTCTTTAATGAGAGTAAAATTGTTACCTTGCATGTGAAGGAAAAGCTACAAACCTGTTGGAATCTCTCTGTATCTCTTGCAATAAGCAGCTCAGATAATGAGTAACCATCTAGATTGTAATTTTGATTGCTATGATTTTGCTAAACTAAACCACTGTCAGGAAAACCTGCAGATTTTGCATGTGAACTCCTTGCTTCAAACTGATTTTAGTTGGCCTTTTAAACTGAGATTATAAAAGAAATGTTTGTCCGTATGGAAAAACAGTCTTAATATGATGACAAGCGAAGGACAGTCATCCAATGTAGATCTTTCTGGTTTTCTGCAAATCAGCCTAAATTCAATTAGCACATAAATGTCACCCAACTAGCCTCACATTTTGTACTTCCCTTCCTGCCTTTTACCTTTTGCAATGAGAGGACCATGGGAAACAAGAGAAAATTGTTCATAGTCATGGAATTAAAGATGCTGCAACAGTACAAAATTCTGAAGATGCTTTGCTTTTGAGTCCTTAGTTTAGCAGCATCTCTTGATTTCAATCCAGTAAGGAATTTCTCTCATTTATGTTTATATATATGCTTATGCTATCAATAGCTCCTTTGTATTCCTTAAACTACTAGTAACTTTATTTACTCCTTTTGCATACTCATTACAGTACAAAGTTCAATACATCACATAAAATTTTTCAGAATCATTTGAATGTGCCTTGAATGCAATTATTATTTGGAACAAAAAGAAATTCCAAAAAGTAATTGTAAAATGTTCTCAGTAAACTTCTTTAACTTTTTATTTTTACATACATCTTACTCTAAAAAATTTTCTAAATTGAACTATTCTGTTTCTGTTTGAGAATTGGGTGGGAACATACAAGAAATCTGCAACAGTTTTTGTATGAATTATGCAAAATCTTTCACAAAGTCTAATTATCTTTTCAGTTTAGCGTTTTTGATTTTTTTCCCCTGAAAAGTGGTTTTTCTTTTTGCTAATTCATTACATTTTAAGTGAACCTGCTATTTAAGAACAGCCTTTACAGAACTTTTATGGATTTTTGTCTGATATATGCACAGAGTTGGCATAAATTTCTCTGTTTGGTACATCTGTGTGCTGAAGTTTGTAGAAACAATGCTGTGCTAGAGAATTGTGTGCTGGGTAATAAAATACTGGCATATAAAGCAAAAACTTAAGCATGGCTGCACTGTTAAATTATTATTTCATAAAGTTACACAGTGAGCTTTCTCTAAAGAAAATTATTCTGTGATCTCAATGTGTAGGGGTATGTTTGTAGGTGTATATCACACACACACTCTCACAAAATGTTTGTGTATCTGAATTAGAAGAACATCTTATAGCTGATATATGCTGTGTTTTCTGGTGTACTCAAGATTTATAGAGCAAAAGCTCCTTTGGAGCTTGGTATTCATCTTTTCCCCTAGACGAGTGAGGTCCTGTTCTTAGGAAGGAATCTTTAAAGCACTAAGCTGTCAAACCTACCAAAAAAAAGAAAAAAATTATGCAGGCCCAATTTGTGACTATAAGGGGATACCAACTAAAAGGATTTGATCAAATCGCTGGCTGACTTTCCTCCCCTCCATTTCCAGATAGTCAAAAGTATTGCTCTATAATAAAGTCCATTTATCTACTAAAGGACTAGAAAGTTGAGAAAAGCTGAGTACATAAATTCCGCAGGTGTGTCTGAGCAGCTGAAACTGCAGCCATTAGCTGTGATCAGTGCTGTACTACACCTTGTAGATAAACCAGTACAGATTTAGCAATTTTTTTTTTCTTTATAGTGGTGAGTGGTTTTTTTTTTGTTGTTGTTGGTTTGGGTTGGGTTGGGTTTTTTTAATCCAGCTAATTTCTAATGTAAGCAGATTTTACTCTCAGGATAAGGTCAGCCTTGTAAAGTGTCAGTCTGATGGGTGAAAATTTTGAGCAGTTGTGATCATGTAAAAATAGGAATGGTAGTTCTCTCTGCCTCTGACTTGGTTTAGGTACCACTCTTATCTACACAAGTCTATGCTTTTATCCCTGCTTCGGTTCTGTTTGCACAACATATTTTTCAAAACCGTTATTTACAGTATGTTTTCTGTAATTTGTAATAATGATGACGTACATGATAGATAAATAAAGCAAAGGGCAAAGACACACAAAATTCTGATGCAGTACCGCGACTCTGCACGACATGACAAGTTATCTGGCTCAAGCATCTAGGAGGAATTTAAGCAGCTAGCCAACAGTCTGTTTCAATGGCTGTCAGGCACCCATGTATCCTTAAAGACTGTGTTTGTGAGTTTAGGTAGCACAAATTTTTTCTAAGCTAATTTCTTCTGGCTAATCAAATAATGAAGAGCTAAATTGCACCAAAGAGCATTCAAGCTAATGAAAACCATGCCTTTGGTTATTTTCTCTGGACTTTAATTATATTTGAAGTTTGGTTTTATTCTCATTATGTATTTCACTGTCAGCAAGCCAGAAGAGGCCATTAATTTAGTTGGAGCTTCTGTATAATGTAGGTTCTTAACGTGACCCTGTTATTTGTATGTTTAGCTTCCGACCTCTATACAATGAAAGCATAAATAGAATGTATAATTGATACATACATAGTGCTTTTGTGTAAAAGTATTTCTACTGAAGAATACTTCATTTCAGATTTGCAGTGTCACTTTATTTGAAGATCCCAGTGGAGTTTTAGTCTTGTATTTTAGCTTTTAAAATAATTTTAAACAATTCTGGCAGTATTAAAAAAAAAAAAATGTCTCTTGGGGACCTAGCTTAGTTGTCTAATTTCTAAATAGTTTAAATGCTAAGCCTGTAAAATAAATTATGTGTAGCTTCAATTTAAATGAACAAAGAATACTAGTTTTCCTTTGGGAAATAGATTTAATTTAGAAAGAAAATGATGGTTTTTATGTAACTCTCACATGGGAATGCATTTGTTAGCAAAACAGCTATTCGGTACTTGGAAAATTTAGTTCTGCGTAAGCTCCAGGCTCAATAAGAAGTCAGCATATAGCCAGTTTCCATTTAAGAACTAAGCCACTGGTGCATCTACCTTGGCTGAGTAAAGAAAAGACTGTAAATTGAGTTCTTGTAAAATGTGTCCCAAACAATGAATGTGGTTTTTTTCTTCCCTCCACTCCCCTGGGATGTAAGATGCTGTACGGGCATCATCGCAGATGCTGAAATCTGGCTTTTGTGTACAAGGTTTCCAAAGCTTCATTCTTCTGTTAAATTTATTTATTTTTTTTTTTTTTAGTCTCTTTCTATATATCCAGGAAAGCAGCTTTCTTCTGCTTTTCCATTGTTGTAGGTTCATCTTCTCAAGGCTACACCATGGAAGAACAGTGAAGCAGCTGGTTTTGATCCACAGATCTTTCATTTAGACGATGAAGTTTCCTCCTCCCCTGCTTGCAGACTTGGCAGCCTCAGAGCCGGCCTGTAGCACCACAGGATGTCTTTGCCAAGCCGCCTCCTGACGTATGCTGGGTGCTCCAGTGCTGTGGAGAAGGTCGCCCTTCTTCCCCCTCGCTGCAGGGACCTCCCCAGCCTTTTTCTTACCCCAGGAGCGACGTGGCCAGTGTTTTCTGCATAAAGGGGAGAGTTATTCCTCAGACCCGTTCAGACTCTTCTGCACACACAGTTCTGAGCGTGCCTTTCCTAAGGACTAGGGTTCTAAGCACTGTTTCGTTTGCGTAACACCAGGATCTGTGCTGTTGTTGCTACTTCTCTATTTTGAAATAACATTTCTCAGGGTTCAGCTCCCCTCACCCCCCAGCCCTTACACGCCAATTTGACTCTTAGGACATTCACTAAGGGAGGATGCTTTGTTGTGTAGTTTCTGGGGTGGGGATGGGAGGGAGTTACTCTTGGCTGAGTTGAACCTCCTTCCCTTTGGGTGTTCGGTTAAGCCTTCTGACGCTTGCCAGTAAAGTTGTCATTGGTTCCGATGGGTGAATGTTTTCTTGATATGGATCAGGAGTCTGTTTGGAAGAGGGGAAGATCACCAAGACATGTGATAAGGACATTGGATATGTGCCACAGAAGAAAACCATCAGATTGTGATGTTAGGACACTGATCATTTTACACAAAACCACACCGTGAAAAGCTCTGTATCCCATTACAAGGTAACAACAGTTCTGGCACCAGCCTCTACCTTAGGTTCTGCTTACAGCTGTAGTTTTTATTTTCCCACAGAACACAGATATCTGCTTCAAAGGGCCAGTAAAAAATGAAAGAGAGGAAGGACCATGACTTATTAGCACTTGCTTCCTAAAAACTGTGTGCATGTGTGTATATGCCACGCCATACACATGACTCCAGAGTACTCAAAACTGTTCTCTTATCCTTTTAACCTTGTAACTCCAAAGAGGCATCCCAGGAGTTTTTTGTGCTTTTCAGACTAGATATTTCCCGTTTGGGGTTAGATTCTGCTAACTTCGTGTGTTTTATTGGCATTACTTACAGACCAAGAACTACTCGACCCTTTAACAATAAGAGCGAGCACTGGTATTTGTCTTAAAGGTTTTGCCATGCACAAAAGGGAAAATTAGTGTTACTTCTATTGATCCACCTTCAGGCCACATAGAGAATTCAAAGAGAAATATCTAAGTGAAGAGAAATTACTAAGTGACAGTAGGGAACAAGGAGTATGTTCCAGGATCTCAATCTGAAAGGTCACATACCTGGCGTTTTATGAATGTCAAGCCCGAAAATGAAAAAGCAGCGTAAATAAACAAGTGCCTTTGCATCGCTGGTTGGAAAGTTCCCTCACTAGCTCTTGCTGTCCTTCCTGTCAGGATCTGTCACTGTGAGGGAGATGATGAAAGTCCCCTCATCACGCCGTGTCGCTGCACAGGGACCCTGCGCTTCGTTCATCAGGCCTGCCTGCACCAGTGGATTAAGAGCTCAGACACGCGCTGTTGTGAACTCTGCAAGTACGACTTCATAATGGAGACCAAGCTCAAACCTCTTCGGAAGGTATGGTGCTTTTCAGTTCAGCTGTACAAGCATCAGATGGCCAGAGTGGCTGTGCAAAGTACAGGCGCTGTTAAAGAAACATCTGCCTGTCCGAAATGGCTTTGTATTTACTGTTGTTGAATTGGTCCCAGAGATTTTATTTCTCCGCTTAAGTTAGTTAATTTACAGCAGCAGACGATTCTGACTAAAGACCCTGTTTCAGCACTCATGAAATATAAATGCACAAATAATAGTTTTTTGTATTTAGGATGTTCAGCTTTCTGTTATTTCCCTGATCTGCTTATTTTTTAAACCAAAAAGAAATCTCACTTATCACATTTTACTCCTGAATAACACAGGCCAGTTCCCCCAGTAATTTTTACAATGAGCCCATAACTTCTGTTTGAGAATGATGCTTATACCAATGTGGAGACAGCAATTATGAAGTAACACAGTCAAATTTATTAGCTGCATCTGTTCTAACTGTTACACTTGTGGGCAAATTAATCGCTCACATGTTAAGATTAGTTAATGGAATCTAAACTGCAGGGCGACCTTGCATCCTGAAAGTCAAATGTATGTTATCTGCGCTCATCTGTTTTCCAGGATAAATCAATTTAACGGTACACGGTTTGTCAGTATAGGGAAGGTGAATGAAGAGTTTGTTAAACATATGTGGGTTGTGTTTTATTTGGAGTGAATCATTTCTCCTCTCATTTTTCTCTACAAGTGCTCTCATCCTTTTTGGGTTTTGTTGCACCTTTGCAGTTTGAGTCAATCTAGAACAGAGCAAGTTTTGATTTAAAATAAATTTCAGTGTGAGAGCCCTTGAAAACATGTAGAAACTATTAGCTTACAACTAGTATATGCGTATGTAGTAGAGTTTTGATGGCAAAAGACGTTTTGTATTGGCAGCTTTGCAGACAAAGGAAAGAAAATTAAATTACTTCTCATTTCCCATCAGAGAAATTATCTAGTAAGTCCCTGATAGTAAACCACTTTTGAAGAGAGAATTGGGATTGATTTGACAAACAAAGCTTGTGATAGGAAAGGACACAGTTCTCAAGTGCCAGGTAGATATTGCCAGGTAGAATGGAAATTGAACCTGATGTAAATGAAAACCTGATGGCTAGCAACTTAATTATATTGTCTTAATTTTTAGTAATTGCAGGTACATTTTAACTACTATGACAAGGAGGAGATAACTGTATAAAATTCCCTGCCTGTAGCGTATTTTGGGTTTGCATTTTTTTTTCTGTATACATGTTCCTATTTTTAACATGAATTGCTCTAAACTTCCATCAAACAAATGCACTTGCAACAGCCACTTTTCCCAAGAGAATATACAGATATTAGTATTTTTAACAAAAGCCTTTTCCTGATTGTGTTAGATAATAGAACATCTTTTAAAAAAAATGGAGTTAAGATGTATGGCATTCAAGAAGAAAAGGAGCGAAAAGTGTGCATAACTGTTGGTATCAGAAGTAGGCACTTTTAACTCGTCACTGCCCCTTTTTTTGTCAATTGAAAGAAATTAATGGAATACTTATAGACTTAGAGCGGTAATGTAATTCCTGCAAGTCTGCCACTTCTTAATTAACTTTATTCATCTTATCATTGGTTCTTGGGTAAGTTTTTGATGCCCAACATAGCAAAGATGAGCCGCTTTTTTCAGACAGGGTTTTTTTGTTTCTGCTGGAAACAGTACTTAAATGTAGTTTATCTGCCAAACAGTAAATGCATTATCCCCTTCAAAGTGCATTGCTCACAAATATTTGTCTGTATAGAATGGACCCAGCACCTTACAATTAACATCCACTTCAGAAAGAAGAACTTGGATTTTACTTTCATAGTTTCCTAAGTTTCAAAAGTTACAATCAGTTAGCCTTTCTGCACGGATAGCGTTCAGCTGTGACACCCTTCATGCATTACATCAAACTAACCGCAGCATTCCTAGTAAGTGAGTGTATGTGCCATCACTGCCATCCTTCACAAATTCATGAATCACTAAAAAGTTTGTGAGAAGCTGTTTTGTAAACCCAGCATTCTGTGAGCTATAGCAAAGACAAAGTAAGGAAGGGAAGAGTGATCATAAACAGACCTGCCTAACTTTCCACCCAGACATCTTTATAAAACCACTTAAAGTGCTGTTTTGTCAAATTTATTGCAAGCTTTTACAGAGCCGAGAACCTCAGCTGTGGGGCATTTCCTAGGAGCCCAAGTTTTCAGAAAATGGCATGAAGATCTGTTACGAGAGCCCAAAGGGCTGTGGGACAGGCAGCTCCTAAAGCTGAAGCTCTCCACAATTCTGTCTACATGTTGCAGGATCTGAAAAGCACTACCGGCTTTAGGCTTTCCAGACTTTGAGAGTTTTAGGTTTTGCTAAGGCTTGGCTATGTACCCAAGAGCCTTCAGTCTCTAGCACTAAGTCCTGACTGATAGCAGTGAATTAAAATTTCCCAAATGCCTGGAATTCTCTGGTCATAATGGCAGTGACATTGTGAGCAGTGGCAGTTATATCAGAAATCACAGAATCACAGAATGGTTAGGGTTGGAAGGGGCCTTAAAGATCATCTAGTTCCAACCCCCCTGCCGTGGGCAGGGACACCTTCCACTAGACCAGGTTGCTCAAAGCCTCATCCAGCCTGGCCTTGAAGACGGCCAGAGATGGGGCATCCACAGCTTCTCTGGGCAACCTGTTCCAGTGCCTC